GGGTATCGACTCTTGGCTCGCTCGTGCAGCTCTTCTCGAGCTGTGGTGTTTCAGCCAAGGGATGGTGCCCGTGTAACAGCCAGGCCAGGGTGCCCCAACAGGGGCTTCCATAGGCCCTGGACTACTAGGTACCTACCTAGGTACGAGGACTACTGCTACTACTAACGACAACCTTACATGCAACTCTGGCTATAGGCCGTGCGGCTGAGGAAGTTGGCCAGCGATCAGCAGCAGCAGGAACACGGATATTGGAGCGGAGAGCTCGCTTGTGCCAATGAGACGGTTAAGTGGCGGGGCTAACGACGAGCTTGCCAGGTGCTAGCGATGCAGGTAAAGATGGGACAGATCTAGAATGCAAAGGGGCGTGGCATGTTCTCTTCCTCTGTCCCTTGTATGCGTGCGTTCGGGACAAATTCAGCTGCATCAGTTGTAATCATCGCAGAGGCCGTCTACAAGACATGGGAGCGAGTCCCCGTACCCCTCCGTTCGTGTGCGCACCGTCCATGTGCTCGGCTCTCCATGACATGCCACTGACAATGACATCGCGGCTGTGGAGGCGTTGATCGTGGCGGGGCAAAGCCACGCGCAATCGAGACAGGCATCAATTGTTCAGCCCACCTTGTTTCCAAATACCTTACTGCATATCGAGTCAAAACGAGTCGTCTCGATGGAGGCCTCAGGCTACCGGTGCGTCGGATACCCACGGCCAAGTACAAGTACAATTGATGACTTTGCACATGCAACGTGCCACATCCTCTCCCACACTCTCCCCCCTCTGTCCTGTTCCGTCTGTAGGGGCATCGGAGAGATTGTTAGCCCAGGACTTCTGGCTCTTGGCGGGTAGGACTTCCAGGCCTTTGGGCAAGGCAAGGCGGGGTTTTGGGCAGCCCTCAATCAATTTTGCAGGACGGTGGGGCGGGAGCCAAGTGCCACAGGCAACGTGCGCGCCTCGTTACCTTAGTAAGCAGATTGGAGATGATGTGCAATATTAGACGTGCTGGTCAAGACGAGGATGAAGCCTTGAAGCGCTGGTGACTGGGCCAAAGTATTTATAGAGCTGATCACAAGCAGACAAGTCTTGCGCATTGTAATCCGTCCCTGCCCTAGCAACCTAGTCTGCCCAGATATGCCCCGAAGCGATCGCTAGCTAGTACTTGGCGGGTTAACTAATGACTGGGCCACTAGGCCCCCACCTCTCTCTATAAGAGAGGTGGGAATTTAATTTATATCTTATGCCTTTATATATCTAACCTTTATAACTTAACTGCATTACTATAACACTAAATTAATTACTTTTAAAAAAAGGAAATAATATATAAATAAGTCTGTATTTAAAGTTTTTTATAATATAATTTTTATTATAATTAAATATATAAAAAAGGTAGAATCTGCAATTTAAACTATTTAAAAGAATATGCCTAGGCATGCAGTATATTAATTCTACGCCCTGTAATTATAATAAAAGGCTTGTCTTTTAATAATAACTCCTATATTTATAATACTTTTAAATCCTTATTAATTTCCTTATTTATTTCTTAATTACATTCCTTATTAAGCATGCCTATTTAAGAGAATTAAGGAATATTAAAATATTATATAAAAGGCATTATTATATAGCTAGAAGTTATAATAATCTTAATATTACTATTATTATTATCCTTATTATTACTGCTGCTATTAATACTACTAGATAATAGTATTATAAAATAGCCTGCTTTAAAAGACTGTAAAGCTTCTTTTTCTATATTATCTTCCTCCTTAAATTTAGTCTTATTTAAATGCTTTTCTGCCTAAGCTTTAATACCAGGGATGCTATAAAGGTTATCCCTTAGCATTATTATTAAAAGATAATGCCGCTTAGTATTATTAGCCTTATCCTACTACTTTTTATAAAGCTTTATTATATCCTTCTCTTTTTATATTTATTAACTTTATAAATAGGCTTAGAATGCCTCTTCTTAATGCTATTTTTTAATAGCAGTAGTGCAGCCTTGCAGTTATAGCCTAGATAAGGTCTTAGCTGCTTTAAGGGCTTATTACTATTAAATCTAGCCTTAGTGGTTATAATACTAGGCTTAGGCTTTAATATCTGCTTCTTATTACTATTAGGCAGCTATCTTATTATAAAGCTAGGTAATTATATAAGCGCTATTACTAATGCCTTAGACCTAGCAGTAAGTCTTTATATAGTAAGCCTTTTACTGCATTTAATATTCCTAAAGTTATTAAATATATTTATTTTAAAGGTCTATAATAATTATATAGTTAATATAAGCTAGTGCATTATTAATAACCTTCTAGGTCAGGCTGCTTAAGATCTTAAGCTTCTTTTATATAAATTTAGCTAACCTCTTTATAAACTATAGTAAGATTATATTCTTAGTAATAAAACTAAGCAGAAGCAGCTTCTACTAGTCTTTTTAACTAAGGCATAGTAGTAATAATACTATATTAAGGTCTAGTAGCTAAAGGCTAGTCTTTTTAAATCTAATATAAATATAGCAAGTCTAAAAGGCAGCCTTATATATCTTATCCTACTAATAAAGGAAGTTATATTTTATAATATTTATACCGCTAGCTAGGATAAAGTCTTAAAGTAACTTCTACTACTACTGCTTAAAATACTAATAAATACTAATATTAAGAGGTTAAAGGAAATAACTAGTATAAAAAAGAAGCTTAAAAGGAATAATATTAAATAGATTATAATATTATATAAATTTAGGATCCTTATAGGCAGAAAAACTATTTATAAGTAATAAATAGTATATTATCTTTATTATTCTTTTAATATAGCCTTACTAGTAGAGTTTTAATGCCTCTTAAGTTAATTATATAATATCTGCTGTATAGCTAAATTAGCTCTTAACTATAAAGCCCTTAAAATTAAGGCTTAAGGTAAAGGAATTATAGTTAAAGTATTATAGCCACTGCAGGGCCTATTAACTATTATTAAAGCTAGTTAATATTTATATAATAACTGTATTTTTATTAATAGAAGCTATAGTATAGTCTTTAAGTATAACTTTTATAAAGAGGATAAGGAAGGAAAAGATAGCCTAGCTAGCAGCATTAATAGCATTAACAGAAGTTAAAGATTCCTTATTTCCTAGTTAAAAGATAATTAATTATTATTTTACCTTCTTTTAAATAAATATAAGCTTTAAAAGACCCTTTATTTAGCTAAGTTATAACAGGGTCTTATTAAAGTTCTAAAAGTTAGTAAAGATAATAAAAAACGCTTTTATAACGCATTTAAGTTTATAATACTACTTTTTAAGCTTAGCTAAGTCTAGCTTTACACTAGCTTGCTAAATCTCCTTAATCTTAGCCTTTTAAAAATGTAATTTAGGATGCCTCTTCTTAAAGCTGCAGAACTAATATCTTAACAGGTCTTTAATTAGTAAAGATAAATAATAATAGTAAAGGAAGTTAGCCTAGTTAATTAAACATGCTTTTATAAGGGTAAAAGTACTGCCCTTAATATATTATATATATATAATAATAGCTATCTCTTTCTCCTTTATTAAGGCTAATGGCGCGCTGCCTCCTCTATCCTTTAATAATACTAGATTATTCCTTAAAAGCTAAATATACTTCTTTATAAGGCTTTTATTAATATGGAAGAGGGCAGCTATTTTATAAATTATAAAAAGGCATAATAAATAAGAATTTTACATTTAGCAGGTAACTATCCTACCTTTAATATAGGCATGCGCTGCAGTAGCTGCATACTTTACTAAAAGCTTATTAAAATTAGTTATAATAATAATAAGATGTAAAATAATATATTATTAAAATTTAGCATTAATTTAAGTTAATTTAATAAAGTTATAATGCAGTTAAGTTATAAAAGTTAAATATATAAAGGCGTAAGATATAAATTAAATTCCCACCTCTCTTATAGAGAGAGGTGGGGGCTTTATAGCCTAGCTACTAATTAACCCGCCGGGTATTATATAATCAGTCTGATTAACGGACCGGCGCAGAGCCTTAATAAAGCCTTCCACCCCACTGCCGCGGATCCAGGCTGTCAAAATCTCGAGAGAAGTCTCATCGTCTCCACACCGTTTTATCCAGACTTCAACGCTACTTGTACCATTTTGTCCTGCCAATCATTTCAACAATTAGCCTGCGGCCTTAGCTCAGCTGGGAGAGCGTCAGACTGAAGTTCCAACTTCAATCACCTGTTATCTGAAGGTCGTGTGTTCGATCCACACAGGCCGCATCTTTTTGCACTTTTCACCTTTGCCTGCCTCCTCGCCTCATTCATTGTCGGGTGTTGCCGGAGTAGGACTCGTTTTTTTTTTTTTTTTTTTTTTTTTTTTCTTTTTTTCTGCGAGTTGCTTCAGGTGACGTTGCTCTTTCCCGCTGCAGTAAAAGGGTATTATTTATTTCATTTATTCACAGCGGTTTCCCCCATGTTCTTGCTGCCATTTATCGTGAACTTGCCTTTCTGCTGCTGAAGTACCTATCATCGTCAATTTTGAAGCAACTAGAACCAATGAGTAGTGTCCAAGCAATGCTTTTACCATTCGATCCCATCACCTACCTATGGAAGTGTAAACATTGCCCTTTGCCACGCCAGTGGTTCTGTGGAAGTGACGAGTGACGCCATTGACCTAACATATACTGACGATAATATTGAATTGGGGAGGTTCAGAAAACCAAACGTAGCACGTTGTACTTACTACTTCATGTGCTCTTGCTTCGAGCAATTGGAGAGCGCCCCAAGCTCCTTCCTTGGGTCTATCTACCCTATCGTTATGTTCCAGTGGTTCTCATTCGAGAGGGTAGTCGCGAAGGAGCCGTTCAGGCTTTCACAATGCAAGGACTGAATCGGAAAGAATGACGTGGGAAGAGGCATGATGACTTCCTCCAACTGTGACCTGGGCATACAAGAATCACTTGCATTCTCCAACTGCTCTTCAAACTCGCCATTAATACAACCAAATTGATATGAAGAAAGGGGAAGAGGTGAACTACCTAACCAAGCCACAATGGACTTCTATCGAGTGAACCTGGCCGCCTTGATCGTGGCCAATTCGTGCTATTTTATGTATCGACATCACACGCAAAATCGCAAACTGCGCCGTCGCGGTGCCCCCCGAGATGAGCAAGCCGAAGCGGCTGCCACAAGCTTCAAACGACGATTCCTCCTCGTCTACACCCTGGTGGTTGCAGCAGATTGGCTTCAAGTATGTTCGTCCCCTTGTTCTCAGCAGACTGTCCTGACACAAACAACCCAACAGGGACCATACACCTACGCGATCTACAAGTACGAAAAGCAGCTCGAAGAACACACAGTCGCACTTCTGTACGCATCAGGTTTCGTTTCGGGTGCTGCAAGTGCTCCCTTTGTGGGACAGCTTGCAGACCGCTATGGCAGACGAGCTGCCTGTGTCGCTTATTGCGTCTGCTACGGTATCACATGTCTTACAATGCTGAGCCGCAACCTCAATGCCTTGTATATCGGCCGTCTGTTTGGAGGCATTGCAACGACATTGCTGTTTAGTGCCTTTGAGGCCTGGATGATTACCGAATATCATCACTTGCAGATTGACGAGAGCACGGTGCCTCTCGGCCGGATTCTCGCCAACATGACGACGACTAGCAGTATCGCCGCAATATTATCTGGTGTACTTGGAAACGGTCTTGTTCAATGGTCCGGCACTCGACTGGGTCCTTATGTCGCCAGCTTTGGCTGCTGCATCGTGGCCAGCATCCTCATCTTGGTGACATGGCGAGAAAACTATGGCAGTGCGGCCAAATCGTTGGAGAGCCCAGAAGCCCAGAAGCTGAAACATAGTGTGCTTACGGCACTTACAGATCCAAGGATCATGACTATGAACTTTGCCTCCTGCTGTTTCGAAGGCACAATGTATCTATTCGTGTTCTTCTGGTCTGCTGCCCTCAAGAGCCTAAGAGCAAAATCAGGACACCAGGACGACCTTCCCTTTGGTCTCATCTTCTCGAGTTTCATGTGCGCCATGATGGCAGGATCTAGCATCGCTTCGACTCGAACTGCCTCTCATTCGAGTCACGGCGCCTTGAACATACTCATGTTCGTATATGCCATAGCATCTGGTGCGTTTGCTGTTTCGACCATGCTGGAGGACGAACACGCGCTATTCTGGGCCTTCTGTGTCATTGAAGGCTGTGTTGGTGCATATTTTCCGAAAATGGCCCTCATCAAAAGCAACATCGTCGACGACTCTGCGCGAGGAGGGGTCTACAGCGCTTTAAGACTTCCGCTGAATATCTTCGTCGTCGTCGCCCACAGTCTCGACCGCGGTGGTAAGTGAACTTGGGCTGCCCTTCTCAAACACCACTTCTTAATCCTTTACCAGGTGACGAACATCGGAATTCTGTCTTCTTGTTTTGCGCAGCCCTTTTGTTGGCTGCTTATCTTGTCATATCGAGACAGATGTAAACGCCAGTTGCTAGGGTAGCTTTCGGACATCTGGCCTGTTGTCTTGCTTCGCTGACTACCTTATGAAAGGAGGTCCACTTGCCGACATTGTTGCGATCTGGCCTAGCACTGGTCCAGCACCGCTCCATTTCCTACCTAGTATTTGTACGAAGTCCTGAACCGTACGGTTGCTTCTGTCCAGCGAGTGCTCATCCAGCCTCTTTTCAGGAAAGGATGAAGCTATCGGCCCCCTTCTCCACATGCATTCGAGGAGAAAGAAAATCTGCGAGGGCCAGGGGGTCACAACTGTTCAATACTGCCAATACCGCCTTTTGAAAGACCTGGTAACAGGCAAGCCGCCTCGTTGAAAAAAAGACCAGCTTCCCCGCGCCAATTGCCCGGTTGCTCGCGTTGGGGGAGGTTTCCCCATCTTTCTTGTGCCATCAATGATGATATAAGGCCCCAAGTGAGACGGCTCTTGGTTCGCGTTGCTGAATCTCGTTCTCTCGTTTGTGATTCTGTTTGAAGCGAGTAGGCCCCCTTTGCCTTGGAATACATGTACCGCCGATCGACATTGAATCAACAAGACCCCTAATCTACCTACCCTAGCGAAGCCTTGCCTATCGACGTCTCTGTCTGGCGGAGAATTCGACCTTCTGACTGCTCGTTCCTATCTCCTTCGGAGGCATCGTCATCGCCCAAGCAATCGCAAATCCTCTCGGGCCTAAATCAAGTTTTTGCTGCTTCATCATTATTGGACGTCTCTCCCACTCTGCCTCTTCATACCAGGTCTCGCCAATTCTACGCATCAAGGTCGGACTGCATCATCCTTCGTCAGTGTCTGCGTTGCGCCCAGCAATCCGAGGTCGAGGGTCTGCAGCGCGTCAGGGTTCCCGGGCTCAAGCAGCAAGGCTGTTCGGCGAAACCTTGCAGCTGGCCGTGTCATTGCAGCGTCGTGATCGACCAGGAGGACGGCTTTGGCGGTTTTAACGTGCCAGCGGCTCGCGGTGCCTGCATCCCGCGACTTTCGGGCCATTTGGGGGGAAATTAGATGGGCAACAGGGGCCAGTCCGCAGCACCACTTGACACGAACGCCACGGAAAGGGACGCTGAATCGCCGGCCCAGCTAGAGCCAAAAATCGCGCGGTTCTCGCACCGTTGCGCGCAGCAAAAGCAGCAGAACAACGGGCGCTGAAATCTCAAGGTACCACGAGGCTGCTGGTAATACCAAGTCTGCAGCCCGCAGTACGGAGGAGGTACACGCGCGGTCCACGGTCCTCGGTCTCTGTATACGGCCCTTTTCCTTCAGCGTCTCCAGCTTTGGGCCACATTCGCTCCGCAGCTGCGTATGCGGGTGGCTCCATGCCCGTTGTCTCTCCACGCCCAATCTGCTCGCGAGCCTCTTCATCATCTCCCGTGCTCTGTGCTTTCGTGCTCTGTGCCCTGTGCTCTGCACGGAGGGCATCCCCGGTAAGAGCAAGTGAAAAGGGTGTAAGTGGGAGCATGTACTGTGAGTGATGACGCACATTGGAGAAGCTTGGCCGGGTTTGGGGTCCAATTGCTTAAATTACTTGCTAGCTGCACACGTTACCGGCAAGGTTCGCGGCCTCGGCGCCCTGTGGCGCGATGGCGACGGCGACAGGATGAGGAGGAGGGTGGTGCGAAGGAGCGGTAGCAGGCGACGTAGCGCCCATGGTGCGTGGCCGCTGCTATCCGTACTGTTGATGCTGTCCTTGGTGAGTCTGCGCTGCCTCCCCCCTTCTGTTTCGCTTCCCGGCATCTCGGGCCTCCCAGCTCGTGGTGTTCTGGAAGAAACCCCCCCATTCATTGCCCGCCTTACTCCATCTCGACGTAACAGCCTACTCCTCAGTGGAGGCCGGGCCCCGTTGGGGAAACCAAGGAAGGCTGGGACAGGAACATTCCAGCGACCGTCATCATTGCCAGCGGAGAATCCGGTTGTCCCACGGCCTCTGGAGCAGCTCCGGCGTGTGACGGGTGGAGAGTCTGGGCAACTGGAGACGAGGCTCGTCGACGCCGTGATTCGCCGGCCGCAGCGGGAGACGCTCACTGGTTGCGAGCATGGTCCTGGGTGGCCTTGGATGATGGCCTTGGATGGCCTGGGAGGCTGCGCTAAGCATGGAGCAGCTCGGCCAAACGCCCCGCGCCGCTCCCCAGAGCTGGGGCTGATCCCTGTGCTGGCCGTCGTTGGACGCAGTTGGAGCTGCAAGCCCACATCATACCTGATGCTCACAACCTGAACGAACACACACACACACACACGCACACGACTGTGGCTCTCGCTAACGCCCAGGGAACAACTGCTAGCTCCGTCTCGTGGCCGCCGACGCCAAGATATACTCTGCCTGTGCCCTCGTCCAGGCGCCGTGGGTGTGCCAGCTTCTCTCTCTCCTCCATCTCCCTCCCGCACTCCTCAGGCCGCTGTCCTCGTTGACCTCGCAACTCACCGTCCGCGACGAGCGCATCTGCCCCCGACACCCGCCTTTCGCACTCTCCCCGCCAACGTCGCGCGTCCTCACAATGGGCCTTGCCGAGCACACGAGCAGGGTTGTCGCCCAGTTCGACTTTTCGGACGAGGAGCTCAACCGCCATGTCGACGAGTTTCTGAAGCAAGCCAGTGAGCGCAATCCCCAGATCCCATCCCAATTGCCGATTTCCATTTTGCAATCTCCAATTGCGTCTTGTCGCAGCGATTGGCCGCTCGTCTGCGTCTGCTCACCACTAACGTCATCGGCATCGCAGACGCGGGATTAAAGCAGGATGGAACCAGCCTCAGCCAGATCCCCTCATACGTGACCGCCGTACCCAACGGCACAGAGAAGGTGAGAGAGAGACTATATCTCCCCCCACGCCCAATTCAGACTGTTTTCGCATGAGGATGGCGCAGCTGACCAATTGCTTCTTTTTTTTCTCTTGTTCTTTTGTAGGGCATTTATCTTGCTGTAGACCTGGGCGGCACCAATTTCCGCGTCTGCTCCGTCTCACTAAACGGCGACAGCACCTTCAACCTGGTGTACAACAAAGTGGCTATCCCAAAGAACCTTATGGTCGCCAAGACAGCGAGAGATCTTTTTGCCTTCCTTGCGAAGCAGATCGAGCTCTTCCTTCGAGAGCACCACCGGGATCACTTTGAAAGCGCCGCCCACCGCCGCAGCACCATGAGCTTCCCAGAGGGCTACCGCGATGAGCAAATATTCCGCCTCGGCTTCACATTCAGCTTCCCAGTACAGCAGCTCGGCATCAACAAGGGTAAGCTCATTCGGTGGACCAAGGGCTTTGACATTCCAGATGCGGTTGGCAAGGATGTCTGCAAGCTCCTCCAAGACGAGATTGACCGGCTCGGTCTTCCGGTCAAGGTGGCTGCCTTGGTCAACGATACCGTCGGCACGCTCATGGCGCGCTCGTACACCTCGGCCGGAAAGCATCGCTCTCTTCTCGGCGCCATCTTTGGCACCGGAACCAACGGCGCCTACATTGAGAAGACGGCGAGCATCACCAAGCCCATCCCGGGCGAGTACGACAAGTCGACCGGTGAAATGGTCATCAACACCGAGTGGGGCTCATTCGACAACGAGCTCAACGTTCTCCCGTCGACCGTCTGGGATCAGACGCTCGACCGGGAGAGTGTCAACCCGGGCATCCAGATGTACGAGAAGCGTGTGTCTGGCATGTTCCTGGGCGAGATTGTGCGACTGGCCATCAACGACATGATGAAGGACGACGAGGCGTCCCTCTTCCGCGATACGAACTCCAGCTACAACGACTGGTCAACGACGACCAACGTCAGCCCCCAGTCCGGGCTCCTGTCTCAGTGGGGACTGGACACTGCCGTGCTGTCCGTGGCTGCCGCCGACAACACGCCAGAGCTGTCAACCATCCGACAAGAGCTGGAGAACACGCTCCAGGTGTACACGCCCTCGCTGGAGGATGCACAGGCATTCAAGGCCGTCGCCGGCGCTGTTGTCCGCAGAGCGGCCAGGCTTGCGGCCGTCGCCATTGGCGCCATTGTCCTCCAGTCCGGAAAGCTGGACGACCCCGAAGAGGAGCTCATCGACATTGGCGTCGACGGCAGCCTGGTCGAGCACTACCCCTTCTTCCGGGACATGATCTACGAGGCCCTGCGCGCCATTGAGGGCATCGGCCCCAGCGGCGCGGACAAGATTCGCATCGGCATCGCCAAGGACGGCAGCGGCGTCGGCGCCGCCCTGATTGCCCTGATAGCCCAGAAGATGGAGAAGCCCGGCGACTTCCTTGCCGACCTGCGACGGGACATTCGACGAAGACTGTCTCTGCCTTTCGAAAATGCTGGTATGTTGCCTCTGCAGAACCACTCAACCCCCGCTTTCTGCTTTCTCTGCAGTGTTTCTCTAGCCCCGTCTCTTCTTGCTTAAGGTACTGACCATGTCGCAGTGGAAGAATCGACGAATTTGTCCTTGCCAACCCTCGTCGCAGCCGGTGTCGGAATTGGCGCGCTCGCCGCTTTCCTGTGGAGCAGATACGGTAGCACGTTCAAGCTCAGCAATTAAGGCGAGAGCGACAGTCCGTCAAATGGATTGCCATCTTGTGGAATGTTCATCTTCTTGCCTGAACATTTCCTTGCTTCATATTTTCTTGTCTCATCTTTTCCCTCTATTATTCGGGAGCATATATCTCATAGGAGGCGTCTTTGGACTTTGTGTGTCTGTGTGTGGACCAAAAAGTTTTCGTGTATAGTATCATGCGTCTCTTTGCTGTTTTGGGAGAATGACTTTATTTTGTACGATTGTCATGTGATGGCTATGGGGAAGGACAACAACGAACATCAAGGCTTTTTCTGTCCTTGCGGCGAGGAGTATTCAAAGACGGTTTTGGAATCTGGGGTGGGGGTGGATGGGAATACATCTCTGTGGACGGCAGAAGGGATGGCTGGTAGACGAGTGTAATTTAAGGCTCTAATGATGCTCATTGACATGTCTTTTTCCATCTGAAAGCTGCTGTCTATCTCTATTTGACTGAGTTCATGGTATGAGTCTTGTTTTCTCTATTCATCTTGTCTTGACCTGCTCTATTTCCTCTATACTTCTCTTGCTCCCGTATATTAACCAATGATGATGATTGCATCAGAACTTCAAGGTGCAGTATGCGCTTCATTGTCCAAACGCAGCAGCAGGATACGCCCTGTCCTTCTTCCTCCGCACGGTCGAGCTACTCCTCGAGCTCGCGCCCGAGCCCGGCTCACTCCCGTTCCTCGGCGGGACCAGCAGCGACGGCGCCATGTCCGCAGGGAGGTCGTTCCACTCCGTCTCGGGCCGCTGATTCTGGAACGACTTGCCTGAAGCCACTCTCGCCGAAGGCCTGAGGGGCCCCTGGGCAGCCGTCGTTGTCGTTGTCGACATGGGCGGGAGGCTCATGACGGCCGCCGTGATGCCGGATATATCTGCGCGAGAAGAGGCGGGCGGCGGCGTAGCTGAAGTTGAAGCAGCAGAAGTTGAAGCAGCAGAAGTTGAAGCAGCAGAAGTAGAAGTAGAAGAAGTAGAACCTGGGAGGGCGCTGAGGACGGAGGCGCCGACGGGCTTGGAGACGAGCCAGGCCGAGTCCGGGCGGAGCTTGAGGTAGTAGCCCTTGATGGCGGGCTCCTGCTTCCTGAAGCCGCGGGCCTCGTACCAGTGCAGGCCCTCTTCGTTTTCGGTCCAGACGTGCGCGGTGACGGAGGCGACGTTGAGGGTCGGGTCTGCTATGGCGGCGGCGAGGACGTCGTCGAGGGCGGCGGCGACGAGGCCCAGGGAGCGGTAGGGCGAGAGCAGGCAGAGCGACTGGATGTATATGTTGTGCTGCTGCTGCTGCTGCTGCTGCTGCACGGCCGGGGGACGGGTGCCTTCGGCGGCGGCGGCGGCGGCGTGGAGGGGGATGTCGGGCTCGACGCGGCAGACGATGCCGCCGACGGGTTTTGGGTCGTCATCGTGGCTGGAGGAGGAGGAGGAGGAGGTGTTGTTGTGGTGGTGGGACCAGCAGATGAGGCGGGAGAAGCGGCCGGTGACGGGGTCGGCGGCGCGGCTGTAGAAGGCCTCGGGGTAGCTGACGGGGAGGAGGAGGGAGTTTAGGCGGCGGAGGGCGGTGATGTCGGCGGGCGTGATGGGGCGGATGGATGCTTCGGGGGGGAGGCGCCGGGTTCGGCCGGGGGTTGTTGATGGTGTTGATGTCGTTGTAGATGTTGATGTTGATTGAGTTGGTGGTTGAGGGATGGCGGATTGTGGGGGAAGGTCTGGAGACGGCGAGGATTGCGATTGAGGCTGGGATTGAGGAGGAGGAGGTGGTGGTGGTGTTGATAGAGACTGTTGTTGTTGTTGTTTGCTTGATGGCGGCGGAGCGTATTGTGGCGGTTTGGCTTGAAAGAAGGATCGGATGGACATTTGCGACGGTTTGCTCGTGGTAGGGAGTGACATGTTGGATAACGACTGGAAAGGATAACGATGGTAAAGATGAGATGCAACTCGGTTAGTTGGAGGTGTCGTGCGATTGTTGTTGCAGTTACGAAGAACTGTGGAGAGTTGCAGCCGATGGAGTGGGATGGAAAGGAAGTCGAGGAGAAGAGTTGAGGCGCCAAGAGATCAGTGTATGTATAAGAAGGCGACCAGGATACGGTAGCATGTGGTTGCATCAAGTGCCCAGATAGTACAAACAAAAATAGAAAGGGAGCCACACAGTCTACCGGAGAAGAACCGGCACAAAATACTAGAGTGAGTCGAAGAGATATGAAAGTACGGAAATGGAAATGAGCTGGAGTTGAATGATTCAGGGCTCTTCTCTCCCTCTTCCGGGATCTGGACTGTTGTTTCAGGGGCGGAAGTACTACTACGGACTTCTGCAAACGGGTCTCAATTGAGGCTGCCCTGCCATCTTAGCAGAGGGATTCCAGATCCAATGAATGGATTCCATCTGATGGATGGCTTTATCCGCGATAGGATGTTCTGCGTCAGGGGACCGTTCCGGGCTCGCTCGCATGGCTAGTCAGGGGGAGCATCTATCACTCTATCTAGGTAGGTAGTATCTGGATCTGGGAATCTGGGAACCCATCTGGAAAGTGGACGGGTTTGGCTTCGTCGCTTTTGATGCTGGGCTGTCGGTATGGAGTCGAGTAAGGTAGGTAATACTGCATTGCACATGAACATGTAAGGGGGGCGCTGGTTGGCCGTCCTCTGTATGTATGTGAGTTCAAGGTGAGGCGCTCATACTACATGTACTACATGTATGTTCAACCTGCCCTGGCCTGAAGACACAAAGGGAGCCCCAGCATCATGCGCTGTAACTGCCGGCGAACGCAGCCAGCCGCTGCAAGAGGCCCCTACAGGCGCAAATGACACCCGGGCTACAGGGGGGGCTTCCAGCGACTACCAACAGCTGGAGGCGCTGCACCTTAGCGGCATGCCGGCATCGCCCAATTTGCGGCGCCTCACTCAGACCGGAGTCAGCACCTACCATTCAAACGTTGAGTTGCTGGCCAAGGCAGCCGGAGGGGCGCATTGGCTTGATTCTCAAATTCGCGACTCTTCACTTTCAACTCACCTTTTGCACTCGGTTCGCATCTTTTGCATTCTCTACTCTACTCCTGAGCCGTCCCTCTTTCACGGCTCTTGCGCCAGCACAGCATCTCCCGCGTTGTGTCTTCTTCTTCTTCTTCTTCTTCTTCCTCTTCTTCAAACCCGTCAATTATTACAATCTCGCCGGCGAGAGGACAGAGTCAGACAAGCCCGACATCTCATTTCCAACCGTCGCCCTGATCCTGCGCTCTCAAAGGGACAATACTGCAACAATCACCATCTTCTGCCAGCCAGGAAGAGACAATCAGCAGCAAAAAAGCAGAGCAAGGAAAGAGAAAAAAAAAAAAAAAAGATCGCCCTTCCCCTGCTCAGCCCAACCCCCCCGGAGTCACCCAGCGGCATGATTAGTGCACAGTGACGAAAGAAACCCCCAACGGCCGGCGGCGCAACCAAACCAAACAAACCAAACCGAACTGAACTGAACTGAACCACTTTGATGCTAGCACCAGCCGCAGCCTCTCCGGCCTTCCATCCGCCTCTACTAGCACTCGAGATCTTGCGCTGCTACGCCTGCTGAATCGCCTCTGTCTACCTAGCCTTTCCGTCAGATCAGCGGGGGGCGAGAGTCCGGGACCGTCTTTTCCGCACCGGCATTGCTCGGTCATCCCATCACACGACGCCAGGTTGCACAGAGCCGAGCGCTCACACACACACACGCACGCCCGCACGCACGCACACGCTCACACACACCTCAGCTCCTGGAACTTTTTTTTTTTTTTTTTTTTTTTTAACCCTTAAACCCTTTATAACCCCCTTCCTCCCCTTATCCTGGGCTTCCCGCGGCACATCATGAATTCGGCCACGGGACGGGCGGGCATCATCCGTGCCCGCGATGACGCTGGGAGCATGGATAAACTGGTGAGTTTGGCGACCTGACTGCAATTCCGTTTCCCAACCTTTTCCTCGCCTCGAGCGACTGCTCTGGCTGGGCTTGGAGCCTAGGGCGCGGGCCTTGCGCACTGTCGCTGTCGCTGCCGCGGCTGGCGTCTCTCGTCGACGAGGGCCATGCTGCTGCATTGCGTGCATCGCCAATCTCATCCGTGACATCGAAAGCGATCTCTCTGGTGTGGTGCGGCTGCTAACAACTTCCTGCCTCTTCGCCCCATAGGCGCATTCGGTGCTCGACGACGTGCTGTTCAACATCGTGTCCGACTTGTTGATGAAGACACACCGAGAGGAGAAGACGGCAAGGGCGACGACCGCGGCCATTCGGGTGGAGAAGCTGGCTTCGGACGCCTCAGAGAGCTCGACGCCCGACTCGGGTCCCGATGTGCGAATCGAGACGGACGCCGCAATCTACGAAGACGGCAAAGTGCTGCTAAAGGGCAACCCTCTCAAGACGACGACGGACATCCTGTGCCCCCGATGCCATCTGCCGCGACTGCTCTATCCCACCGACGGCAAAGGCGCCCGGAAGCCGGACCCTACGATTGTCTACTGCAAGAAGCACCCCTTCATCGAGAAGCCTGGATGCGACATCTACGGCCAGAGCTGGGTGGGACCAGGCCCCGGACGGGGCAAGAAGAAGAAGGACATGGACAAGAAGGACGGCGCCGATGGCACCCCCGAGCAGCGGCCGCCCAACGTGCTCTCGTTCCCTTCCGCGACGTGCAGCAAATGCAAGCGATGCATCCTGGTTACACGGCTGAATAATCACATGGGGTCCTGCATTGGCAACAGCGGCCGCAACGCCAGTCGAGCAGCCGCTCAGAGGATCAACGGCGGCGGTTCCCAGAACGAACCGACGCCCCCGCCCTCTCAGAAGGCCACGCCGACGCCGACCTCTCGGGCGCAGAGCCCCCGGAAGCGAGACGCGAGCGACGACGACGACGACGACTCGGAGACGAGCCACAAGAAGAAGAAGTCCAAGCACAGCCAGACCAAGAGGGTCATCATAAAGAATACGAAGCCCCCGTTGAAGAAGGACAAGATCAAGAGCAGCTCGCTGAGCCAGGAGCAAAAGGCCGACTACGACGTGCCCTCGCCCAAGGTGCTGAACAAGACCAAGTCCAAGGCGGAGAGCCCCATCAAGAAGCTCAAGGTGACCAAGCCGACGATTGCCTCGCCCATGTCTAAGAACGGCCGGGACATGGACGGAGAGTCTGAGTCTTCGGGAACGCTCTCATCACCGCCCGCAAGCCGTCACTAAAGGCGTTCTACAAGAAGCGTTCCACAAGAAACAAAAAACAAAAATAAAAAAGAAACGAGTGGCGCGAGATCCCAGGAGTCTGGAAGACTATACATGCGTTCGCTCTGCCTGATTGTAGCCGGATGATTGGATACGGGATAGACTCGAAGCGGGAGGGCCTTTGAAGTTTTGATATCCATCTTCACCTCCATTGCAAATTTTTCTTTCTTTTTTCACTGTACTACCACCTCTTTTGTCCTTTCTTTGTTATTCTTCCCCTTTCCCTTTCCTTCTTCCCAGACATACAAGAGAGGAAAAAACGAGGACGGGAAATCGAACCTGAGGCTGCTTGCCTCGCATTTTGACTTGGCAGCTCGCGGAGGGGAATGGGTTCGCTACTGGGGTGGCTGACTGGCTTTTATATACAGACGATGATGATACATCCAGCATCCCGAGGAAAACGGGAATTTTGGCGTTTGGGGGAAAACAACCTTGATTTTTTTTTAGTCTTGTTTGCAACCGAGTTGCTTGGACTCTTGTTCACTTCTCCTCTCACGCTTCCTAGGCTAGTCGAGTCCGCATGTGCGTGAATAAGAGATTCTTTGTGTAACATGACTCTGACTGTTTCTCTCGGCGCTGATGTATGCTATACTCGCATGTGATTGGACTATTAATGGTTGTCTACTGTTTGATTGATTTCACCGTGACGCGCCCAACTTGATGCAAAAAGCCTTCCTTGTAACGGATATCTCGTGTTCAAAGAAAGATGAGAAGAAACAAACGCCATACCGTGCTGTCTATGCGAAGCCGCAAGCATTACCTAGTATATACATTCATCCACATCCACATCCAGGATACACACATGACGACACCAGATCCCGCCCCAGTAGTGCTTCAAACCACTACACCCGGCCCCATCCGGATATTCAAAGAAAGAAAAAAAAAAAAAAAAAAAAAAAAAAAAAACCTAAACCCAACGCCCTTCTTCCCAAGGGATCAAAAAAAAAAAAAAAAAAAAAAAAAAATTCAAACCTCATCCTCAGCCTCCAGAACCCTCGCCTGAAAGATCTTGACCTCCTCAAGCGGCCTATCCTCCGGGCCCGTCGGCACCAAGCCCATCCTCCTCACGACGCCCATGCCGCTCTTGACCCTCCCAAAGATGGTGTGCTTCCCATCGAGCCAAGGCGTGGGCGCGAGCGTGATGAAGAACTGCGAGCCGTTGGTGTTGGGCCCGGCGTTGGCCATGCTGAGGATGCCCGCGCCGGCGTGCTTGAGCGACGGGTCGATCTCGTCCTCGAACTTGTCGCCGTAGATGGAGGCGCCGCCGCGGCCGGTGCCCGTGGGGTCGCCGCCCTGGATCATGAAGTCGGGGATGATGCGGTGGAAGACTGTGGAGTTGTAGTAGCCGCGCTGGACGAGGGTGGAGAAGTTCTTGGTCGTTTTGGGGGCGTGCTTTGTGTAGAGCTCGAGGGTGATGTTGCCCTTGAGGATTTCAGAAGCTGTTAGCTTTTGTTTGAACCATTTTTTTTTCTTCTCTTCTTTGGGGGAGTTGGGGTTGGTGGTGTACCATTGAGGTTTCTAGGACGACGTTGGTGGCCATTGTGTGTGAGGCTTGAGTTTTGCCGAGGAATTTGGGGGGTTGTTGAAGAATTCGGAAACGAGCGTCGAGATGTCACATATGTAGAGGAGGATGAAAGAGGTGGTTGTCACTGCGAGACGAGGCTGCGATCTTGGTACGCTGGAGAGGGATCTGCTTATCGCTATCGCGGCGTGCTATTGGCTGCCTTGCTGGGGGGGCTCTTCAGCGATTGCCAATTAGCGGCCGGTTAGCGCATGGATCCGCTGTAATTCAGGTCCAGCAGCCCGCTCGCTGGCTGGATTGGGTACCTACTTACCTCCAGTCATTACCTTATGGACCAGTTGAGTCGACATTTCAGTGACTGGATCTGAGAGTTCCATTGCTTGTTGGCTTCTTCCCTTCTTTTTCGATTGTATCACCCACCGACGACTTCTTCTTCTTCTTTTCAATCACTGCCAATCTTCTCGATCTACTATCATCTCGCAAACGTTGTGATACATGGATTGAAAAGAGCTGCACGATCTCTGAAAGAAATGGTCTGGCTGGTGCTGTCAACGTCATAGAGCCAGTCTTTGTTGATTGAGACCACGTTTCGCCTTGCTGGGTCTCCATCACAACAACATCTACAGCATCCGGGTCTCCTGTGCTTCAATATATAGCAGCATCTGGCACCAGGGGAAAATGTCGTCCACAAATGTCACCCTCATGGAGGGCTTGGACAGCCTCAACATAACAATAAACACGACGGCATCTGCTGCGTCTTCCTCGAGCATCATGGACACCCTGCAGGACCTCAGCTTCCTCCTGCTCGAGCTGAAGCTCGTCAGCGGCGCCATGGGAATCATATACCTCGGAGCCCATGCCTCTCTACGCCGCCCGCCCTCGGCGGCCGTCTCCAAGGACAAGAAGCGTCAGAAGCAGGAGGACGAGACCTTTGCCCAGGGACTGGAACTCTCGGACGCCATTCTCTTCCCCGTCATGGCTGCCTGCGTGCTTGTTGGGCTCTACTACCTCATTCAGTGGCTGCAGGATCCGGCCATCATCAACAAGATTCTGCGGTCGTATATGACGACGATGTCGATGGCGAGCTTGCTGACGTTTTATGCGCATGGCATCCAGGTCCTGACGTCCTTTGTGTTTCCCCGGTTCTGGCGTGGGAGAGACGGGAAGCTGCGCAGAGTCGATCAGGCCAAGAGGGCGGTTGCAGTCTGCGACGACGTGGGCAATGAACTGGAGAACCCTAACAATGGCGCAACGAACCCTCTCCCTGGAGCCTTGGGCTTCCTTGTGCCCATGGCGCGGATGCACAACAGGGTCTGGAACCTGAGGCATCTCTTCACGAGGCACTGGTTGCTCGAGGTGTTTGCGCATGGCATGGGCAAGGAGACGGCCCACGTCAACTTTGCGCACATGCTGGCGCTGCTGATGGCGGTGGTGACTGCGATTGTCTACTTTGCGACCTCGTGGCCGTTCCTGTCCAACATGCTGGGCTACGGCATGTGCTACGGATCGTTTCTGATTTTGTCGCCGACTGATTTCCTCACTGGGTCGCTGGTGCTGTGGGGGCTTTTCTTCTACGACATCTTTATGGTGTTTTACACGTGAGCCACTCTTCTCTTGTTGGCGCAGGATTCAATGTGTTAATGATTCCTAGTCCCTATATGATGACGGTAGCCACGACTCTCGACGTTCCCATCAAGCTCACGTATGAGGCGGCATCCAGAAAGAGTATTCTGGGGCTCGGAGACATTGTGATCCCGGGCATGGTCATCGGCTGGGCCCTTCGACTCGATCTCTGGATCCACTACTACAGGAAGATCAAGTATGAAGCCACCGACTTGAAGATTCTCGAGAAAGTTTCTGGCTCCGAGGAGACGATTACGCGAAGCGAGACCAAGTACAGAGAGGTCAAGACCCCCTACGTCGATGTCAAAGGCAACTGGGGAGAGCGCTTCTGGATCCGCCGAGCTTTCGGCCTCGTCGCTCCTAGAGACTTGCCTCCCCAGGTTGCCGCGTCGAGATTTCCCAAGACGTACTTTTACGCCTCCATGGCGGGATACCTTGTTGGCATGCTGGTTACGCTCGCCATGCTGCTCGTGTTCAAGCACGGACAGCCGGCGCTGCTGTATCTCGTCCCAGGCGTGTTGGGGTCCATGCTGTTGACCAGCCTGGTGCGTGGGGAATTCAAGGAGCTGTGGATGTACACGGAAGATGGAAGCCTCGACACCATAGACGTGGTGGTTGACTTGGATGGGAACGGCAAGGCAGTCAAGACGATTGGCAAGCTGGAGGATGGCGTGGTGGACACGACCAAGGACGATAAGAAGAAGGAAGACGAGAAGGACAAGGAGAAGAGCAAAGAAAAGAAAGCAGAAGCCGCAAAGGACAAGAAGGGGCACAAGGTGTTTTTCGTCTCTTTAGAGGCGCCGCCAGAAGGGGGTGAGGAAGAGGATCAATAGGCGCAAGGCTTTCTGGCGCAAGAGCTTCGCTTGACCGAATTGCACGAGACCGATGGGAGCATACCTGTACGGATAGATGATTAAAGAGTCGATTCATCTGTTCATTGTAGTGAATGTTTCATATAACAAACTGTTTTGATTGTCGCAATCTGATGTCCCGTTTCATGTTATCCAGCGTTTGCCATGCGTCCACGACGTACCCAGAGCCCTCCATCTCTTCTTGTCTCTGGAAAACTCTCAAGTCCCAAGCAACATGCCATTGTGAACATCAACAGTCAAACGACTGTACGACATCACTCGCCAAGCTCTTCCAGCAACCTCTCTGCCCTCGCAAGCGTCTCCTCCAGATCCAAAATCTCCGGCCCGGGGACCTCGAGCCCAGCACCGCCCTCCCCCCTCTTGACCACGGTGCAAATCATGTACTCGTCGTCCAGCGCCCTGTCCAGCTTGACGTCGACGTCGGTGAGCCTCTGGCCCTTGAACCAGACCTCGAGCTGCTTGTCGGCACCCTCGGGCGGGACCTCGCCCGGGGGCGCAAAGTAGCGCATCTCGAGGTCGTGCAGCCAGGGGGCGAGGAGGGCCTCGCCCGTCATCTTGACGTAGGCCTCGCGCAGGCACCAGTCTGCGTAGAAGTAGTCGAGCAGGCGCTGGGGCTCGGAGCGCGGCGAAAAGGGCAGCTCCCTCATGCGGCGGACCTCGAGCGGGGAGAGGACCTCGGCGTGCATGGCGACAAAGGACGGCCAGCCTTCGGTCTGGACGTGGCGCACGTCTCGGTCGCGGCGCTCGCCGGGGCAGACGATGTCGGTGCCGATGGCGATGCCCGCGGCAGGAGGATTGTGGACGCCAAAGAGGACGACGACGCCGGCTTGGTGGGAGACGTTGAAGAGGAGGGGCTGGAGGTCGGAGTCTGGCGGGTGGAGGAAGATTGGCTTCGTGCGGGCGTCGCGGATAGGCGTTGCGCGAGGGAGGGGAACGCGCAGGAGGTGGGAGATGGCGAGGCGCTTGAGGAGGGAGGATGCGAGGGAGAGCTTGGCGTCTCTGAGGAAGTGGTATTTGAGGGCGGCGGCCTGTTCGGCTGGAGAGAGGAGGGAGAGGGCGCGGGAGGCCTTTTGAGGGTTTTGTTAGCTTTGGGATGTGAGGTTTGAGGGTGGTGGTGATGGCGGGAGAACGTACCACGCGAGGGAGATCCTTGGTGTTGCTTGCCTCGGGCCAGAGGGGCCGGGTGTCGAGGACCCAGAGAAAGACGCTGGTTTGGGCCATGATGTTTGTATGCTGTCTTGTCTCTTTGATGGCCTGCAGCTTTTATGTTAATCAGAGTGATGAATCAAGATCTGGATTTTGGATGAAGTGAAGTGAGGTGTGCTGTTCGCGCGGTTATGAGTGATATTGTCATGAGTGCACGTGTCCCCCGTCGTCGAGATGAGTGAGACGTGAGACGTGAGACGTGAGACATGAGATATGAGACATGAGACGGCATGCAGTGAGAGCGGAATGTGTTGCTTCCTTCAATGTCTGCCCTCTGCCAATCATCTTTTGCTAGCTGCCGCTTCCCCGCTCCGGCCCGCAGAGCCGCAGGATTGAGGATATATTAGCTAGTAGTATATTGGATACTATGGGTGAGAGTTACACAGAGAGTCTCAAGTCATGACTGCTTGATAGCTCCAGAGTTAGATGATGGGACAAGAATTTAACCCATGCGATTAGTGGTGGCATTTGCTGACTGTTTTGTTCCAAAGCAGCTAAGAGAAGCAAAACTATAATCTTTTAGTGATTGTAAGAAGCAGAGCTCTCTTACATTCCAACCCCCACCCCCTTCTCCTCGAGCATCATGACTAAACCTCCACCAAAGCATTCCTCACAAATGCTTGCCGAAAAACTCGAGCAGCGCCCTGTAGCCCCTCTCGTACTCGGCCTTGACCCTCTCGTCCTTCAAGTCGGACCTGGCCGCCATCCAGCCGTGGATCTGGTCGCCAAACGTCTCGACGTGCTTGGGCACCTGCAGCTTCTCCTCAAACTTCTTGACGTCCTCTGGGTTCTCGTCCTTGGACGCCAGCAGCGCAAAGGGAATGGTCAGGCCCTCGGCGTCGGCCGGGTCGACCATGGCCGGGTGGGCGGCGGCCGCGGCCGAGAACGGGTTTGTGGGAGCCTTGACGGTGAGGGCGACGACTTTGCCGCCCCAGCAGTACTGCCAAGGGGGGTTAGTATTACTTGACCGCGCTTATGTTTCGAGACTTTCGAGTGTAGAAAAGGGGGGGAGGAGGAGGGGGGGGGGGGGGGGGGGGGGGGGTTGTGATAGTCGTGTGGGATAAGAGGTACAGAGCGTGATGGACTTACCCCTAGCATGGCCAGCTTGGAGACGGACGGGCTGTGAGCCTTGACGGCGTCGACGTACGCAGGCACCAGGCCGGCAATCTTGGGAGGCGGAAACTCGCCAAAGAAGGCGCCGAGGGCCTTTTGCTTCTCCTCGGTGTCGGGAGGGTAGCTGTTTTGCGTGTTTGATTCGACGTCAGCCAGCTCTCTCCTTCTGATTTCATCTAGGGCAATATATCGCCCAAAGGTCCCTCCCGCGGGACCAGAGGAACAACAAATACTCACTATTCGATGGGGCACGGCTTGCCCTTGAACCAGTCGGGCATAAACACCTTGTACTTCTGGTGGTCGTTGCTGTAGGCCAGGATGTCGGCGCCCTGGACCGTCTGGTCAAAGTAGCCAAAGATGTCGTAGATGACCACAATGGCCTTTGTTGCGTCTGCGGGGCCGGTGACGTCTGTTTGATTATGTGTCGCAAAAAAGAATTAGACATCATGAGTCTCGACTTTTTTTTTTTTTTCACAGATCAAGCAAAAGTGTGTTCTCCAGAGGCAATCGTCTTCAGACGGCAGTCGTCGGGATGGAGAGCAAACGTACAGGTCTTGTAGCCGCCAACCTCCTCGTACGAGCCCTTGGGCGTGTATCCCTCGGACACGACGGGCGGGATGTTGCAGCAGGCGGCGCTGTGGCCGTGGGATGCGGGCATGGCGGACATGGTGCGGGATTGGGGGCAGCGAGACTGAGGAGGAAGGGATCGGAAGAGGGATTGAGATTGAGATGGCGCGGGGGCGGCTGTGGCTGCGGGTATGGCGGGCTTAAGAGCTTGGCGACGAGGCGGAAGCGGTTGCTGATGGTGTTGATGAAGAGGGCAAAGAGAATGAAACTGAGATCGAGATGGAGCTTGAGCTTGAGCTTGAGCTTGGGCTTGAGCGGATGAAATGCGCTCCGAGCGGCGGCCGAGGCTGATGCGGGGACCAGACGAGCGAATGCAGGCGGCAGAGGCTGTGGGGAGAAGCCGCAGAAGATGATGCCTCATGGAAATACTGATAGAAGGGAACAGAACTTGACGAGTTGCGGGTCGGGCCGGATGAGGGAATTGAGTTGTGCGAGTTGTTATTAGCGGGAGGATTAAAATTGAAAAGAACCAAGAGAAGCGTCAAGTCAGTGGTGGTGGCAGTTGCAAGGGGTTTTTTGAAATTTGAAGCCTTTTGTCATGTCTTATCAATTGCTGCGCATGTCACTGGATCTCGACGAGACTGACAGTCAGTGTAGATGATATGTAAGACTGTACATAGTCTCCACGGCTGTGACGACGCCTTTGCTTCATCGACTGCTCATGGCAACGTCAGCGCCTTAGTAGCTAGCTACAGTACATACGAGTATAGCCTATATAGAGGTAGGCATGAGCTAGCATTCGGATACTAGTGCCTGCATGCCTCGTGTGGAGATCTGGCAACGCTGTCGCAGGGCTTACGAGAGAAGGCTTTTTGAAAGCGAGGTGAGACAAGAGGAGACGTGAGATGGAACGGGATTCGAATCCGAGGTGGGGGCGGGGTTTGGGTCCGACTGCTGCCGGTGATGTCACAGGATGTGGGCAGGGGATAACAACAATCATCACTACCTTAGCCGTTGGACTACAAAGTACTATCGCCGTCAACATGTCGTACACTCTTATCAAGAGGAAAAGGGAGCAACAGAGAGGGCAGAAGCAGAGCTTTGGGAGCCCTTCACATGTGCACTTGGTTCCCAAGGAGCGAGGCATAGAGAGAGCCAGGATGTAGCCCGTCTCATACCCCTTAAACCAGCCATGACAACAGAACAAAATCAACCATCACGTCCAAGGGGTTCAATTCGCTATAATCACGCTGTAGACCGCCAACTGCTCCATCCAAGTCTCATTGAGTCAGAACCGAAACCAAAAGACCAGCTTGATCCAAACATGAAAACGAGCGTCACAAGAGATTGCAAGACGGAGCATCCCGTTCAGGCGGCTGCCACCCTTCCACCCTTGAGCCTCAGCACCAACTCCAGTACTCACCATTCCTCCATACAACATCCTTGTCCTCGCCTCCGTGCCATCGGAAGCAGGGCACCATCTCGGATCGATTCTCGTGCGTCGCCGTCATGTCCTGGCCTAGGTCCTTGACCAGCCTCTCTGCCTGGGCCAGGAGTCGGGGGTTCGGGTCCCACGCAACAATCTCTCTCAACTTGAACCACATGGCCTCGTGCACAGCCGCTCGAAGCAACAGCCTGATCGGAATCTCCAATCCCTCCTCGCGCTTCAGGGATAGCTTGGCAATGTACAGCCTCTTCAACGCAAAGTCGTGCACCCACCACATCTCAACATTCGTTTCCGTCTTCGGGTCCTTGTAGACGGCTCCCACGTGCATCCGGACTGGGCTCCAGGACGGGCCCCATGCTTCCTTGACTTCGTATAATGCCCCAGCCGTCATGGACTGGCGGCACAGATGCCACGCCTTGACCTCCTCCACCAGCCGGAACTGCACATGTGTGATTGGACTTTTAATGACGCTCATTGCCATCATGTCCATCGAATCATTCTCCACCAACATATGCTCGATCTGGTTATCATTCGCGGTGAAGCCGAATTCGGCATCGCAATCACCAAGGTGCCGTCGCATGTATCCCCTAAGGCGGTCGTCGAGCTGCAGGTTACCCAATGTGATTCGGAGATGCTTGGCCGGCAACGGCTTCTAGCCACGCTGCTTGAGGAAGTTCGTGTCGGGGCCGCCGAACACGACGCTGAACTCGATGCGCTCTTCGCCCTTCCTCCTGTCCATCTCTTCGGCCAAGCGCATCAGGAAACGTGCACCATGCCCTCGTCTCCGGAGCGTAGGGGCGGTAGAGAATTGGGATATTACGGCTCCGTTGACACGCTTGCATCCCCGAGCTGTGCTGACTAGTGCTGGCCTCCAGCAGATATTGGCTCCGGTGTAGATGTTGGAAGGGTCAGCATAGTTTGCTAGAGACCAAAACTCTTCCTTGAACTGAAACATGTCCTTGCCGAAGTCTCGTAAACTGCTCTCGATGCGCAGCCACTGAGCGGCGGGCAAGGGCGAGGAAGCATAGACGACACAACGCTTCCAGTAGTTCAGAAGCTGCCTCCTCGAGCCTTGTGTAAAGCATGGCGTATCTTCCCTGGCCGGCTCCAAGGCATAATACTTGGCCAACTTCTTCGCGAGCCTGGCGATTATATCGGATGGCTGTCGAGGGCCATCGTCACCGCCTCTCGGAGTGCAGTCGTCGTGTTCGTCTGCCAAGGCGTCATTATGGCTGCTCGTCGGAGTAGCAATGCCGCTCATTGTCCGACTCTCATCGCTGTCGTCTATCGGAGTGCCACCTCTGCCCTTTGTTGACGTGTCATCGCAGCGGACGCCGTCCGGTGCAGCACACGGCGACGTTGGAGCATCCCTTAGGCGGCCCATTGCAGAGGATGATGCCATGACTATGGCTCAGCCACTAACTGTAGACGAGGTGAGTAAGTAGATATCTATATCAGTACCGTTACGGACGGCCCTTGAGACCAGGGGTCTACTATACCTGATCAGCAGCGTCAGAGTAACCTCAGGTAGGGAGCAAGAAGAAAGGATAAGAGATGATTTGACGCAGGACAAGCAAGCTGCAGAGTGGTTTCCCTCGCAACGTTGTGCTAGGACTGACTGCTCTATCTTACTGGATGAAAGAGATGGACTCGATGCTGACGATAAAAGATACAAGGTGTGTCAGTCGTCGTCGTATGTTGCCTCTCCCAACTCGGTACATGTATCAGCAACCTCTGGTCTGGTGCCTGAGGCAGAAGATAAGGTACCTCAACATTATTCGGAGAGATGCAGGAGCGCGGCAGGCACGCATCACGGCTGCTCACTCGCAAGTAGCACCTTCCCTTGCTCTCTTCACGCTTCTCTGGGCGGTGTCGCAGCTTCCCTCTCACGAACAAGCGTCTCCTTTCCCTCCTTCGTTTCTCTCCTCTGTCCTTCTTTCTTTCATACGTAACCTGACCTACTACCTACCTGAACATCTTACATACATTCACTACCTTAGTCAAACAATCAACTTATACTAACATTTCTTGCAATTCATTTCAATTCAATTCCTTTCCCGCCTCGGTGGCTCACATCACGAAGCCAATCTCTGCTAGGTTTGCGCCTTGCATCGACTGGAATCTCCTTTCGCTGCTTGTGCTATGCTGCGCAGCTTTGTAACAGCATAGGCTGGATTTCCAATTGCTCCTTTGTGCTGATGGCTGGATAACCTCTGCTTCTGCTTCTGCTTCTACCTTTCTGGCTCTCCTTTTGCCGTCTCAAGAGCCTTGTTTCCCCCCTTCTGATCCATAAGGGGACTGATAAGAAGGGGTGAATCATCTCGGGATATGGTGTTGCACCGGCCGCGTCGGTGCGTCCCCTGCTCGAATCGCTTTGGCTAATCGCTTCAAGGTCCGGTAGACGCAAGGGAAGGGGGAGAAGACTGGTCAGATTTCAAGGCAAATCTCCCAACATCGAAAATGACAGCTTCTGCTCCGGTAATCGTACGAGCCGGTCACCAAGCGACTTTCGTTAGCACATTTCAGCACGCCGCACACCACTCCGGCGCTCTTCATCGACGCCACTATCGCGATTCGGGGCTAGATGTGACAGATAGCCTAAGCTCTGGCTCGAGACTAGCATCTCGCCAACCAACCAACCACCAAAGAAAAGGAGACGATTTCGATCACCTCACTCTTCTGCTGTTCAGACAACAGCATGCATGACCAGCCAACCCGAGTTGGTGTGTCGTGTCCAAGCTCCCCCCTTACATCCGACACCCTTGTCCGTCCCAGCCCTTGGGACCCGGCTAGCTGGTAATTTTCCATCTCGCCGGCACATTGGCCTGCAGCTAGCGCAGTCCAGTGACCCAGACGACATGTCGGTGCGAGCTGCGACCCGAAGCACTGACCAGACACAAAGACCACTGCGATGGGTCTCTCATGGTGGCGGTCAGTGGTCCCTGCATTGCATTCCCAGCTGGCCCCCCTTGTCCACACATCGACCTGATCCGCCGTGAGGCATCTGCAGATACTACCGCCGTCACCGCCACGGATACAGCAAGAGTGCTCTACAGCCCGCGTCAACCCCGCCATGGGCCAAGCCTCGGAGACTTTGATGGTGCTACCGCACTGCTGCCACGGCAAAAGGAGCTCGGTAGCCGTACCTGGCTGTCAGGGCAGATTGAGGTACTGACTACCGGCAGAGCAATATGCGATCTGTCTGCGTAAGCGATCGGCTGCTGCAGGTTCTCCTCATTTCGCTGCCCTGCATACTATCCGTTGGATATCCCATGGCTGGCTCGGGGTAAGGGGCCTGAGGCGCCGGGGACAACAATGTCATGTCTGAAGACAAGCCGCCAATGTTACGAACTACCGCCCACTGTTGCTGCCGGTGGGACTACCAAAGGAACTCGTACAGTACTGCATAGCAGCGGCGCTCTCTTACAGACTGGCTGCTACAGATGGCCCAAGCAGTTTCAAAGATAGGGGGGGACCGCCTACAAGCATGAGAGAAGCTGCAGCCGGACTCGCGCCAAAGCTAGTCGTGACCGGCATGCCAATGCCGTCAGCGGCTTAGCTGAGGCCCGGCTGGTCGGAAAACTAAGCGCTAGTCATAGCCAATCTGCATATGCAATTTATACGGAGTGCAGCCGCACCGTACAGTTGGAACCTCGATTGCTCGCGAGACGACTAGTACCAAGACCCAGGGATCCGGGAACACCAGATGCGAAAGGGCAGGGGCCATGACAGCGGGCAAGCAGACCATCGTCGAACAGCTGAAGTCAGTCTAGGCGTAGCCCCTCAGCTTCAGCCTCCTCAACGCCAAACCGCGCTCAGCTCATAGCCCAGGCCGGACAGCTTCACGAGTCGTTAGTGTCGCAATGGATCATGACGTCTCCGGCACCATCGAGAGTATGGATCAACTTGTCGAAAGGTCACGAGATGCGCCCCTGGTCCGCTTGTAGCGCCTAAAAAGAAGCAAGACAGGTCAATTTGACATCTGACGGGGGGGAAGATGACCTGTCGGTCTTTGCGGGTTCCAAGACACACGGTATTAAATGAACCAAAAAAAGTACTCCGTAACGCCAACCCATTAGTGCCTCCCCCGACCTGGCTTGGCCCCTTGAGCATCGCAAATAGCAGCAGTTTCGAGTTGATCCGCCCTGTCTCCCTGACGAGACAGTCGTCGATCGCAAGCCCGGCTTTTTGCTGCGGAAATCATAATACCGGTCTGTCCCGACGGCACCACTTCGTTGTATCAAAAGAGCAAAACTATTTTCTGTTTCCCCTATTCTTGGATCGCGCTTGCAGCTCGGGCTGCCGGTTGTTGAAAGAGGTCAGCGTCTCGTCTCCCTGTTCCAAGGTCTTACACGAGATAATACATACTAATTCAGTTGGTAGCATTCGACCTCCTCTTCACCGGCCTCCCCTACCCGGCAAGTACACCTACTTGCTGTGACAACCTGCTCTACATTTGGCCCCTCTGGCGAATGACATCGTGCAGGATGCAACCTTTGGCAGCTTAGCTCCATGGCCGGAAATTCGTCATTCAATACCCGGCGCTACCAACAGATGGAGAGCCCATGTCTCGCATGCAACTTGACGCGGCTTCCAGTAATACAAGCAGCAGCCGTGCCCTTTCTGTCCTTCCCCCCTTTGCCCCCCTTCCCCCCCAAAACCCCCACGTCATACGGGGTTGTCAATGCATGGGGCTGCATACCACTTCGTTGCCCTCTCTCCCCATGCATCGAAGTACTACATGCGTTCAATCATTTTCTTGTGAAACCCATCCTTGCATGTTGGGAGCGGCATCTTGATTTGACTCCCTGCACATTGCCAGAAGAGCCCTTCCGGGCGACGGAACATGACCTTTCCAGGTGATTCCATGACTCCAGATTCTGCGTTGGGCTCTTTGGGCCCTACGCCCACAGTCGAGCAGTCTGATGCTGCAGACATCTCATGGGTGATGGTGCAGTGTGCACGATTGCGAAACACCAGAGACTGAACACGTCGAATTGTCACAATATTAGCGTATACGCTGCCTCTAATTTACACACATAAAAATGCTGGTATCAAAAAGAAAGAAAAAGAAAGAAAAAAGCGCCGTGTTTCCCAAGGCATGGCACTCGCTGAGCAAGACAAGATATCGCCGGCTGTGGTGCTCATGCCCACCAATTTGCCCAAGTCCAAAGAGGAGGAGGAGGAGGAGGAGGAGGAGGAGGAGAACGAAGAACAGAAGGGAAGACGGAAAGAAAATCAACCAGATGCCTAAGAAATTGGTGGTTTCCCCCCAGCCTTCAAGACTCCGCCATGTGCGTCGTAAAACTATCCATATCCTTACTTGCTGCCCGGACATGCTTGGATGTTCACGCCTTTTTCCCCCTTTCCTGATTAACAGAGTGACAGAACGATGTATAAAAAAGAAGTAACAGCGGCAAAGCAAATAACAAGCATAAGAAAGCCTAAGAATGCGGGAATGACGACGCCCACGTTCAATGA